CCAGTTGCTCGACATACCTGCGTGGCCCGTGCGACGAAATAACTTCACGGGATTGGCAAAGTTTCAGTCACAGCAAATTATGCAAAAAATCTAGAAAGATTTAAGCTTAAATCTCGTTTAACGTTTAAAGCGACATATCAATGACTGCAACCATCGTGTTGTATACAAACCTCGCAAACTTTAAAACACGTTCTCTAGTACTAGTGATACCTGCTAAAGTATTCAGTATAATTTCCGGTAAGATTTTCGCGGATAATCTGATCGATTCCTCTTACATTGTGTGCTGAGACTGAAAATTTTCATCTCAAGCAAATCTCCGTCGCACGGTTCAAACAAACATAGCGAGCACCTGAGCTTCTAGTATATGTCCGTGTTAAAACACACGAAAGGACTCTAAAGCACACTTCACTCTGATTGGGCAGAAAAACACAAAGATTTTCTGGCACCAATCAGATGGCAGAACGACTGCGACCGTTTGGAACTAGTCTTGTAAGACAATGTCCTCAGAAGCTCTTCATGTCCTAACTTGAAATCGACCCACAGCTCCTGGGTCTCCGAGGATGAGGTCTGGCAATCAACGTGAACAAATGTGAGGTTATGCGAGTAACACATAATCGTGATAAATCTGTCCCACATTAATCTCTCGTCCCGAGTGGAGAATATCTAAGCTCAGTGAGTTCCACGAAAGACCTTGGCATTACAATGTCACACGACCTCTCGTGGATTCCACACGTTGTTGAGGTTGTCAATGAGGCCAATAAAGTTCTTGGTCTAATCAAGCCATCAATCGGTCCAGTAAACAAGGAAATCTTTTCCACATTGTACAAGACTCTAGTGAGACCAATCCTTGAGTATGCTTCCCCAGTATGGTGCCCTTACCTAGTTGAAAGTATTTTTCTCTTAGAGAAAGTTCACAGAAGAGCCTCTCGATTGGCTTTAGGTCAGCAAAGGGGTGAGATGGCATATGAGGATCGTTGTGAAATGTTACATTGGTCGAAGTTGACTGATAGAAGACTATATTATTCCTTGGTAGAATGCTATAAACTTGTATTCGGGCTGAATGGCTTTCATTTTTGTGATTTTTTTGAGTTTGCTTCAAAACGTACTAGGTCCAGCCACAATTACAAACTGCAGGTGAAATTGGCAAACTGTAATTGTTATAACTACTCTTTTTTGTTAAAATCATTCGTGAATGGAATGGCTTGCCCGCCAATGTCGTTGAGATAGGTAACTTAGCACGTTTCAAATCAGCTCTTAAATTATACATGCGTATTTCTTAGGTCTTTATTCATCTTATGTTTTATTATAATCATAAATTTTTAAATTTTATTTCTTTGGAAGGTTATCTACACAGGGTTAACCTCTTAAACTTCCTTTTTAGGGTATTATTTGTGTTTTTTATTTCTTTGATACCTTAAATAAAGTATGTATGTATATATGTATGTATGTATGTGGTGTACTTTTCGCGCGGTTGTTATCGTAACAGAGTTATTATCCGGGAAGTCAAGACGTTACGCAAACCCACTAAAGGCAAAGGGTACCTAAACGGCCGTGGCTTTTGCTATTATGATTTTCATGGTAAAAATAGAAAAACTGGTGCTATCAACCAGAGTAGAAATGAACGCTAGTTTGGAAGAGGTATAATGACGACGTGTTCTGTCTGGAGAACACAACCAAAGACAAAAGAGAAGAATCTGTAAGACCACAATACAATTAGAATTGAGGTTGTATTAACAGACTCAGAAATTACATTCTTCGACCCAAACGTGTCGAGATCGATCATAAACATTCGCCCTTCTGACGGACACCCAGGTGCCAAGGACAATGACAATTTAATTGATTACAATTTTCTCGTAATGTGAAGCAAGATTTCAAACTGAAAACTAACTGTTTACGGAGTTTGAGCGCGTTATGTGCCAAAGAGAAGTATAAATGGCGCAGTTTTATACCGGGAAAAAAAAAAAACGTAAATGTGTTCGGTAAGCCCCCGCTATGTAAAGCCTGACTAGTAGCAGTCTTCATCCTCAATTACGACTTATAAAGTGTAATTAGGCTCGTAAAGTTCTTCAGGAAGCTTACGAACCTTTCTAAGTGAATTATGTTACTTTCAGCTCTCAATCTTTTTTGTTCGTTGTCAGTTTACTGAGAAAACAAATGTAACATAACACTAAACATTTTCATTCTTCTTATTTTAGCCACGGCCGAAAGTCAAGTTTCTCTGACCGAGGGAAAACCAGAGTTTAATAACGAACTTTGTTTAGGTAAGAATACCAACAGACGAACAGAATTAAAGTCATAATTTTCATATTGAATCAGTGCCTTTTAAAAAATGGAATTAAAATCAGTACGGGTGACAGCCCTTTGCATAGATCCTAAATGCAATTTCACCAATCAAGGTTTTTGTAAGAATTTTCAAATTGAAGAACAACAAATGTCAGACGGTCATCAACATAAAGTTTCGAATTCCTAATAAACACGAAACTTATTTCATGATATTTTCATGATCAGCCACTGAGAAGGATGAAGCTGCATCAGCCAAAGGACAGCTGGACTTTGAGAAAAACACTGCTTCAGGTAGGAAGGAGAACGTCTTTGCTGAGCTAAGCAATGTGTTGCTGAATAAGTAATCGGAAAGAACCAAAAGAGTTTGAATGCATAAAGAGTGGAAGCGAAGTGTCCCCCGGCTATAAAAAGGAGGAACTAGTTATCGAGGATGGAGACTGAAAGAAAAAGACGCCTTCATCTGCTAATAATGCTGGAGATCTGCTAATAACTCGAACTAAACTTGAGCGCCTAGTCAAGCTGAAAAATGGTGATTGGCAGTATTCACTGAATGTCTGTTAGGTATTTGTTCGCATCTCGTGAGAGAAAGTCACCACAACTGTTAGTCAAAGTAAATATCAATCTCTTGTATATGTGAAAATTTTTAGCACAGCTTTACCCTTAACGTTTGAATCAGTTTGAAGAACGAGAAAAGCAATGATCAAAAAGATTAAGTTTCTTTTTTCTTGATATTTTCAGTCGAGGAAAAAGCCAAAGTCAAAGAGGCTGAAGAAAAACTGGACATTGAAGAAAACACTTCATCAGGTGAGACCTACTAGTACATAACTGAACATTTCTTCATTAAAATGTATGGAAAGTTTTGGAATTTGAAACAAAATATTGACCAAACCCCATCGCGCAAGGCACCGGGCGAAGGCTGCGTAGGCAGGAAGTACGATGAACTTGGAGCCATAATCAGAGACGGAGTCCGTAAAAATCAAAGTTTAATCGATGATTTAGCAACGTAACAGCTCATAGATTTATCAGACCTTTTTGAACACAAAAGCCCTGTAAAATTTAATGGTATTAAACTGAATCTCAGGTAAGTCACAGGCTAGACGTGGACTTGACAGTATGATATCAGGAAAGCAAGTTTTGAAGCCTCCTCCACATTGACGTTTCCGGGTTATGAGCGTTTACGTCGGGTGAAGATGACACACTTTATGCTCCAACATAACAGTGAAAGGCCTTTTATAATTCTATTCATTCTACTGCATGTGAGATCAAGCAATTTTTAACATAATTTTTGTGATTTCCGTTAGAGAAACAGCATTTAACGTGAAGGGAACACATTGAAAACCTCAATTTAGAAAAATGAAAGCATTTTGTCTTGACGCAACTACGTTCAATCTTAACAACGTGCACTTGTTATAATCTGAGGTGGTAGTTCTGCGGCTTATTTGCATGCTCTTTGGTTTTGTGTTTATGCCCATCTTTTACACCCTCTTAAAGCTCCCTCTCCTACTTATCTATCTCTTCCACGTTCTCCCGTCTTAGCCGGGCCTTTCAATCCTTATCATGATTGAATTATTGTTATTATTACCTAAAGAAGTCATTTTTATGAAGCAAGAACATTCCATCTTACCATATAAATTTAGTGTTTCTCTGAAATCCTCTGTGTTGTACCTTTCAAATCTTGCTGATGAAGGTAACAAGAAATTCACCACAGACATGATTGGAACTGGAAAGCGTTTAATAAGTGGTCTTTGACTGGCTATGCTGAGTATAGATCGATTTTAATTTCATACAGCTAAAAATTGCGGATGGAAATCAACTGAAAAATTTACATAGCTGAATGGAGTTAGGTGCCTTACAAAACAAAATACCGCCAAAAATCATCTTTTAATGATGTCTCGTTTAATTTAATGAACAGTCTATGTGGTGCATTTTTCTCTATGGAATTCACTCGACAACCACTATATGTTATCGCTGGTTAAGTTTCCTGGGTATTATTTAAATATGTGTAATTTTTCCATTGATTTTCATTTGTACCAAAAGATGAATTTGCAGAGTCTAAAATCAACTATGAGCTCTCTTTTGGTAGGACAAAATAAACGTAAAACTAAAGATTTCCATTCCAAACTGACATCTTGTCCAGACAGACAAATGAAACAGAAGAAATTAAAACTAATTGGAAGTATTGAAATTTAAGTGAAAAAAGAGTGCAAGCTGTTTATTACATGTCCTGGAAAGGTAAACAGTCATTCATCCCGAATGTAATTCGCCTGACTTCAAGTCACTTGGGCTAACTCGATTTGTCTGCTGTCGGTGTAAGAGCAATTGGACAGTGGTGGAAAAAGAAGTAAATATCTTTACAATGATCCAGAAAAGCCTTGTCAATTACGAGGAAACCTCTACTTAAAAACTTGTTTTCGTCCTTTAGACCTTGAGAAGAGTCCTGTTTCAAAAGTTGAGGGGAGAAAAGATATAAATGATGGCAAATCAGCAGGTAAACAAACCATTGATAAGTGCGCGCACGATAGCAGACGATTTACCTCGAAGATATCTTCATGATTTCTGTCGAATGTATTACAAAGTGTTTTGGGGCTCATTATGCAAACGTTACTTTCAAAAACCAGCATTCTTTGAGCTTAGAACACGACCACGCTCATTTAAAGCAAGGGGCTAAATATTTGTTAACTCCTTGTAAGGTTGGGGAATAGTCTACACACACATAGCCACATCTTGAAGTCCTTAGAAAATTCCCAAAACGTTGCTAACTAAGTGACAGCCAGAATGCGCATTTCTGCTCTTGACTACCATTGCTCTTTTCAATACGCTAAGCTTATCCACGAGATGAAACTAATTTCCTTTCACACCTTTTTTTAGACGACGAGAAAAGTCTAGTTTCAGAAGAAGGAAGGAAGGATTCAGAAGATGACAATTCAAAAGGTAGGGGTAAATTTGACTCTGAGTTAAAGATACAAACCGCGTGGGGGAAATTCGAAGTTTATGGATTAGGAGCAGATGACGAGTGATTTACCCACTCGACGGGTGTTGTACCAACGTTCCTTGAGTCAAATAAAACTTCACAACGAAAACTATTGTTTCAGAGCAATCTTTTTAAGAACAAGATAAAGATACACGTTCCAAGCTATGAAAGAGCTGGTCTGTAAAAAAGACAGATCATTAAAAGAGGTCACAGTTAATGAGTTTTAAATCGAAAAAATATCGTCTTCGGGTAATAAGGTCTGCTGCAGAACTTTTCCTTTCTCAAGTACCTTCACTTCACCTTTTTATTTGGAGTTCCATAAAAATCAACCATAACTATATATATATATATATATATATATATATATATTAACTTGAAATGGAGTGACACAGAATTCTGGCCAAACTGAGTTGTTTTAAGGCCGATATAAGAAATATGTTTCTTGGTATTTTTATTGATGGAAATATTTCACGTTGCTTCGGCACAAGAAAAAGTTGATTTTAATGTCACTTATTCGTCAGGTGAGGAAAAAAAGCTAATTGTCGTCACAAAATTTTGCAAAAACGCGCCAGCAAGTCGCCTGAATGCCATCATTGATTCATAACTATAGAGACAAGTTCTTACCGGGAAGCTGGCAATAAGAAGATCCAGAATTAGAAAAATAGCAATATCCTAAAACTTACAAGAACAGCAGATTTCTCATCTTAATTGCAAGCTCCAGTTTAGCCCTTTAAATCCCCAGATCTGATTGTCAGTTCTCCCTTCTTGCTGCTACTCATTTTCTTGTAACCGAGCTTTGAGAATTTGGTGTTAGATCAAGATAATTACCTCTACCCAATAAGTTTACTTTCGCATCACCTGTTTGCTAGATAATGTATGAATATTATAGGAAGGAGTTACATGTTTATCACATCCGTTTTGAATCTCAAAATTCAGTCGCTCGGATACAGGATTTTTTAGACTGTACAAATCTTTTGTTAGATCAGTAGTGAGCTGGCTGGTGGAATGTTGTAAAAGTTGTTTTTTATTTTCTTGGAATTTGATCGGTCTCTTGTTGTATTTAGAAAAGCTTCCTCATTGGCTGGGGAAAAGATGCATTGAGAAAAAAAAATTGTGCGATGCGTGAATAAATCGCACCAATGAGAGCCAATCAGATTATAAGGATCACCTGTGATTTCAAAATGATGAAATAAAGGTTTATATGGTGATATAGTTCTAAAGTGGCAGCAACATTTAACCGCCTTGCTGCATGCAATGGTAAAAAAAAAAAAATACATGGTACCATGTAATTTCTTCTCTCGTCGATGAAATAAAAGAAACAAAATAAATCATAACAGAATTTTACCCTACTCCACGCTTTCCCCTCCCTATCAACTATTAACTATTGACACTTTGAGTGCGTTAGGCGCTGGGGGTTAATCTACGCGGTACCTTTAGCTTTCAGTCTCTTTTATTCATAGTCAGTTCAAAAACAAATGTAGCACAACGTTGAAAGCTGTAATTCTTCCTATTTTAGCCATGACCGAGAGTCAAGTTTCACCCACCGAGGCAAATCCGGATTTTAAAAACGAACTTAGTTTAGGCAAAAAAACCAACAGTGGAATGCAAATAGCATCGTTGTTTTCGTTTAAAGTTAATGAACTTTTTGAAAGAAATAAAAATTACTACGAGTGAAAGTTATTAAAACTTAAAAAAAAAAAATTAATTCAAGATACCAACAATATTACGGCATAACCCGGTGACACTTAGGAATTTTTTAATCGTTTGCTGGTTTTTTCTTTCTCCTTTTTTTTTTGTTTTTGTTTTTTATAATCAGAGAAAACAGATTTAACATTTTAAATAGATCCTAAAAATCGAATCAAGGTTTGTATACGAATTGGAACAACTTTAAAAGTCATTAGTTGCGAACATTAAGTGTTGAATCCTTATTAAACACGAAATTTATTTTATGATATTTCCAGTCCTGGAGACGGATGAAGTCGAATCAGCGATAGGACAGCTGCACATTGAGGAAAACACTGCATCAGGTAGGAAAAAGAACTCAATTGCTGAGCTAAGTTTTGAGTTTGACTGCATAAAGAGTGGGAGCGAAGTCCCCCTACAAACGAATTACAGTACGGTAAAGAAGGAGCCAGTAATCGGGGATGAAGACTGTTACACATTGAACTGCAGTACGAAGTAATTAGCTCAGCAAAAAGTGAAGCTCCAAATGAACCTTGCAAATCTAAAAATCTTGACTGTGAAGCAAACATTATCATTCAAAAAGTACAAAATTGATCGAATAACATTTTAAGAGAGCTTGTATATATTCAGGTCAGACTAAATTGCTTCGCCACGGGAACATATTCGAACTAAAAAGAAAAAGGCGAATATTCATTTGATAAAGAAAGATCTGAATCAGATGATAGCAATTCAACAAGTATAAATGATAGAGGAAATTAATAAACTTGTTTTGGCTTATGCATTAATTTCCAAAGTAACAAGAAAAACATCTTTTTTGCAAGAAGAGAGAAAAAGATGTCTGGAAATCTGCTCTTAACTCGAAATGGAGCTAGTCAAACTGAAAATGACGATTAGAAGTATTTACTAAAAATCTGCAGGGTGTCAGACCATCTCGTGAGAGAAAATCACTAAAATTATCAGTCAATATATGAGTCGTCCCAGCGTTATGTAACTTTTTGATCGTTCATTTTACTTCTGAAATGTTTATTGAAATTGACCTCTACCACAGTCAAATTTGAGATGATATGCGATTAAATGAATTGAAAAACTTATTATTCTTGAATGCATGATTGAAAAAAACCTTAGGATCTTCATACGTTATTCATATTTGTTTTTTCCATTATTTTTCATTGATGGAAAAAATAGAAAAAGTTATTATCAACCCGGGGCAAATGTAACGCTAGTTTGGAAGAGGTATATTGACGACGTTCTCTGTGTGTAAAACACAACCAAAGACAAAATAAAAGAGTTTGTAAGACCAGCAAACAGCTACCACGTTCCAATTAGAATTGAGGCTGTACTAACAGACTCAAAAAGAGAAGGAGACCTTTCAAAGTTTGAATTTTTGTGTCATTCCCAGGCACAAAGAAAAGATTCTTAAAAGGAGGAGCGCTACGCCTCTTTTGAATGAATTCGTCACACTCCACTTTATATAAAGACATGCAGTATTTCAAAATACTCTGATAGAATAGAGGATACTAGGATGCAGTTGGGTAGAAGTATTTTCCTGAATTCGATATCACCCGGAGAGAAAAACTTTACATTGGATTAGGGTTCTGAATGATATTAAAGGTTTCCCTGTCGTCGGTCACCCAGGTGCCAAGGACGATGACAATTTTGTCGTAATGTGAAGCAAGATTCCAAACTGAAAACTATTTACGGATCTGAAGCGCGTAAAGCGTCCGAGAGAAGTTTTAATGGCAGGGAAAAAAACGTAAATGTGTTCGATAGGAAAGCCCTCGCTATGTGATACAAACCCTGTTAAGTAGCTGTCTCCATCCCGAATTGCAACTTCTAAAGTGTAATTAAGCTCGTTAAACTCTTTTCCTTGTGAAACTTACAAACCGTTGTAGGTTTCACGCCGTACCTTTAGCTTCCAATCTCCTTTATTCATCGTCAGTTTACTGAGAAAACAAATGTAACACAACACCAAACATTTTCATTCTTTTTATTTTGGCCATGGCCGGAAGTCAAGTTTCACCGACCAAGGAAAAACCGGATTTTAAAAACGAACTTTGTTTAGGTGAAAAACCAATAGACGAACAGAGCTAAAGTCATAATTTTTATTTCAAATTGGTGCCCTTTAACAAATGGAATTAAAATTACTACGCGTGACAGTTGTCAGATAAAGAAAGAAAGGAAATTATGTCAAGATATCAGCATCACTGAGGTATAACCTGAAGAGCACTTCAACCTACCAACATTGCCTTATGCTTTGATTTTGTTTGTATGTTTTTTTTTTTCATAATTAACCACAGATAATAGTTTTAGCCCTTTGCATGGATCTTAAATGCAATTTCACCGATCAAGGTTTTTGTAAGAATTTGAAGAACACTAAATGTCAGACGGTCCTTAACATTAAGTTTAATTTCGAATCCCTAATAAACACGAAATTTATTTCATGATATTTTCATGATCAGCCAATGGGAAGGATGAGGCCTCATCAGCCAAAGGACAGCTGGACATTGAGAAAAACACAGCATCAGGTAGGAAGGAGAACGTCTTTGCTAAGCAAAGAAATGTGTAGCTGAATTCGTAATCGGGAAGAACCAATAGAGTTTGAATGCATAAAGAGTGGGAGCGACGTGTCCCCCGGCTATAAAAAGGAGGAACTAGTTATCGAGTATGGAGACTGTTAGGGACTGAACTTCAGTAGCATATAGCCCGGCTGAAAAGCGTAGCATCAAATTGACCTTGTGGATCTCAAGGTGTCGAAAGTTAAACTTCAATTAAGCTAAAATTGACCGAATGATATTTCAAGAGGGCTTGTACATATTTAGGCCAGATAAAACTGCTGACCCTCGAGTGATATTTTTAATCAAGATAAATTGGACTTATTTTACCCGTTAGTTACCTGTTCAGTGCACTCTTTATTCTTGAAAGTCTAATTCATTAGAGGAACAACAGGTTTGCGTCTGTTTATCAACAACACTGATGATCGTTTGAAAGTTTTGTTGATATATAATTTATCTACAAATGTAAAGTTGTGTTTAACGCGAGTTTTATTGGGCAAATAGTGCAATCTCTTCACAAAATAGACTAAAACTCAAGTAGGCTATCCCTATCTATGACTTAGCTATCAGAATCGTCATTATCAAGATTTACCAAAGGAGCCAAAGGTCACGCAATAAATAAAAAAGCCTTTCCCATGTACTTTTAGACGCGGAGGAGGGGCAAGATCCAGTTGATAAAGAAAGACCGGATTCAGATGATAGCAACTCAACAGGTACAAATAATAGGGGAAATTTAAAAAGTTGTTTTGGCTGATACATTAATTTACAAACTAAAAGAAAAAGACTTTTTTGCATCCTTCATTCCACAACAAAAGTTAGTTTACCACAAAGAGAGAAAAAATGCCTGGGAATCTGCTTATAAATTGACTGAAATGGAGCCAGTCAAACTGAAAAATGGCGATTGGCAGTATTCACGGAATGTCGTGCTGGGTATTTGTCCGCATCTCAAAGAGAAAGTCACCAAAACTATATGGTCTGTCAATATAAATATCAATATCGTTTTTTGTGTGAAACTTTTTAGTACAGCTTTACCCTTAACGTTTCAATGAATTTCACGCCGGAATTGTAGATGATATAAGAGTTTGAAGAACGAGAGAAGCAATGTTAAGTTTCTTTTTTTTTTTTTTTTTTTTGATATTTTCAGTCAAGGAAAAAGCCAAACTCAAAAAAGCTGAAGAAGAAGTGGACATTGAAGAAAACATTTCAGCAGGTGAGACGAACTTCATTAAAATGTATGGAAATTTCGGAGTTGAAAACAAAATATTGATCAAACTCCAAAGCGCGAGGCACCCGGGCGAAGGCTGCTTACCCAGGAAATACGATGAACTAAGGTGCCGTGATAACGGACCAGACGGAGTATGTATAAAATCAAAGTTTAATCGATGATTTAGCAAGGTAACAGTTCATAAATTTTTCAGACCTTTTTGATCACACCAGATCTGTAAAACTCAGTGGTATTACATTGCATCTCAAGTAAGTCACAGGTTAGGAATTGAATTGACAGTATGATATCAGGAAAGGGCTTTCTATTCTGATTTCTGCAGAGCAAGTTTTAAAGCTTCCTCCACATCTACGTTTCCAGGTGACGAGCGTTTACGTCGAGTTCAGATGACACACTTGACGCCTCAGTTATCGCTCGTTAAGTTTCTTAGGTATTCTTAGGTATTCTTTTAATATTTTTCCATTGATTTTCAGTCAGTAACACTAAGTTTCGGATCCCTAATACACTCGAAGTTTATTTCTTGTCATTTTCAGTCTCGGAGGAGGATGAAGCCGCATCAGCCATGGGAGAGCTGTACATTGAGAAAAACATTGTCTCTGGTATGAAGAATGATTCCATTGCTGAGCTGCGTTATGTGTAGCTGCATTCGTAATTGAAATGACAGAATTAGTTGACAGAGTAACAAAAGAAAATTACAAGTGAAGCTTCTCTATAGAAAAGTATGGTAAAAGAAGGAGCATATACAGTCACGTTCTCTCCACCCGAGTTATGTACTACCTCTTCCTTCTCTATCTGTTCCCAATCTCTCGTCCTCAGGCTCCATAAACCCTTACTGGGTATTTCCAACCCTCGATCCTCCGTGCCCGGGCTCCCCGGCCCCCTTCCTCCCCCTCCCTCAAGCAAGAACGTGTTATCTTAGCGTGCAGATCCAGTGTTTCAAAACCTCTCTGTTGTACCTTTCAATCTTGCTAATAAAAGAAACGGGAAATTGATCATCTTCCTCAGAGATGACCCCCCCCCTCCCCCTTCCCCCGGAAACCTTTGACATGGGTAACATGATTAATGCTGGCAAGCCTTTAATCACTATCTTTGATTGACCATAATATGGCTTGATTGTTATTCCATACAGCTGAGAATTTTAAAGAAAAATGAACCAGTATATATAGTGACTTAAAAGATATTGCTTTTGTTGGGTGCCTCGACGATACAATTTTCCTCAAAAAATCATGTTTTAGTGATATTTTGTCCAGTTAATGGTCGGTCTGTGTAGTACATTTTCTCTGTGGGACTTTACTTGACACTCATTTGAAATTGAAATTGGCCACCGTAATGAATAAAAAAGCTGACGTCTCGAGCGTTAGCCCTTCGTCAGAGCAAATGGAGGAATTGTGGGTTGTATGTGGGTTTATATGTAGAAGCGGAGGTACGCCATTGGTTCCCACCATAAAACATCTTATATATCACTGGTAAAAGCTTCGAAGTTATTCTTTCAATATTTGTTCCTTTTCTTTTGCATTTTCAGTTGTATCGAAAGATGAATTTGGAGAATATAAAATCATGCACGAACTTTCTTTCGGTAAGAGAAAGGAGACTTAACTTAAAAAAGTTTTCATGCCAAGCTAATGCCTTTTCCAAACAGACAAACCAAACTGATGAGAGCAGATAGGGGTATTAAAAATGAAAGCGACAAATTAAAATTTGAATTATATTAAATAACTAAAGAGCAAAAAAAACAAGAAAGATATTTTGAAAATTTTATCAGAGTTGGTTAACGGTAAGAAAGAGAAATTTATGTCCCACAATCTTCTCCTGCAGTGGCCTACTTTATTAAGAATATTATTAATAATATCAACTTATATTGCGCTAATATCAATATACATTTTCATCAGCGCAGAAACCAAAATGTTACAAAAATCTAACCGAAAAAAAAGCAACAAATAGAAAAAGGAAAAATCTAATAATGAAATAATACGTGTTAAACGTGTCAATAAAATATCTAAAAATGTATAATAGTGTAGTTTAAGTGCAAAAATATACATATAACTTAATCTAATGTAATTCGATATCGGTATGCCAACAATAATAGATAATTCGTATCGCTTACAGAAAGTGGCATTCAGGATTTCCAAGCGGAACAAAACGAAAATACGAAAGGAAAAACCGGAAGCTACTTTGCTATGGCAATGGAATTTCTCGCGGCTGAGAGAGAATTTTTGGCACACACTTTTTCTGCCGGTAAGTAAAAAGTTGATAACTGAGAATTTTGTGGAGTGAAAATAACGCCCATTGCTTATTTCTGAAATGTTTAAACGGATTTTCCTTTTATTCATCCTGAGTCTTTTCGCTCAGGCACTAAACCCTTCTTTTCGCGGATGGTGGATCCCGATTTTTTCATCCAGTGGTGAAACCTACGCGAGCATCTACGCTCGCCCATGTTTCATTCTCTCTATACAGATCAATAGCTAGTGAATAATAAGAAATTCTCCATACAAAGCTATAATATAGGTTGCTTATTGTTACCAAGTATTCACGTGAGGCTATATATGTTTGGAGTCCCTACTTTTGTGCGTTCTTTTTATCATAGAGATTCCAACCAAAACAATTGTGTTAGAGTTATCTTTTTTTCGGAAAATTGAACCCTTAATTTATTTACTTCTTATCTGATGGTTTTCCATTATAGCGGAGGAAAACTTTCCACATCCTTATGTGAAACCAGATCTTAACCACGAGTGCGCAGAGTGCAGTTCAGGTGAGGGGAAATGAACAAAAGGAAATGGTAGATAATTTTTCACTCAATCCGAAAATTAGTTTAAACACAAAAACGATGTCTGAGCAAAAACTGATCATTTCACCCGAAGTAAAGTCGATTCGTCGGCCCGGTGTCGGTATCAGAGAGATTAAATAGTTAGGAAACAGCACAGATTGTTTGTGTGTTAATCACGAGGAAAACTCCATACCATAAACTTTCAGACGAAAAAAGGAAAAAAGAAAAACACTGTAACCTTGTTTCAGACGAAAAAAGAAAAACACTGTTACCGTAACTTTCAGACGAAAAAATGAAGAAAGAAAAACGCTGTAACCTTAACCAGGATAAGACGATCACCTACATAATGTTTAAATGTCTCAAAGTGAAAAGGGCTTTATCTGTTTCCTATAGACACTGAGAACGATCAAGTTCCAACAATCGATGATAAAAAGGATTTGAATGATGGCAATTTAACAGGTACAACAAATCAGGCAAAAAATATTGACAAGTTATTGAATCCGCCTTTTTAAGGGCTTTACGATGTTTCGAAAAAATTCTCTACCTCTTAGCAAGTCTTTTAAGTTTGTGAACCTTTGGTTCTTAGGTATTTTGCTACCAGCAGGTGACGTTTATTCACGATTAAAATTATCTTTCCTTTATGTTGTGACTATGTTAGACGGTGAGAAAATTCAGGATTCTTTAGTCGAAGAGAAGAAGGATTCAAGTGATGAAACAGGTACTAATACATGTAAAAATTGAACTGGCAATAGACCGCTCTTTCTATTTGTTTACTATCGTAATAGCCTGCGTAGGATAATGGGTAAAAACAAGAACAGACTGTGATTTACCAGCTTGCGACGTCTGATTCACAGGCGGTTTGAGTATCCTCCAAATATAGTGAGAGAGTGGTAATGTCAGTAGAATGATACAAAGTTCGGTCCGTTACATCTCTGTTATAAAAGGACCGTAAAAAGTTTTAGTTTACGATGCAATATGCGATTGGTAAATGTCTTTACGACCTGAGCAAGCGTAATATCCTTTTTTTTAATGATATACCAGTGAACAGTACTGCACGAGTTGAAATATTAAAAACTTGTTTTATTGTCCTACGCGTTTCGTCTGACAGTAGCGGACTTCGTCAGAGAATTTTCACAAGTTGAGAGAAATTAAGCTTGCTTACATACAAGCAGCTAGTTGGGAGGGTCACAGATTTAGCCCTGAAAGTACATCGCTTAATTTGAGTTAAAAGTTGACCACGTTCGAAAAAGTGGGGAAAACATCCTGATTTCGAAGTACTAAATCTGTGACCCCCAACTATATCATGTACTCGTACATGCAACGTCCGAAAAATGTAACGTATGTAGAACACCGAATACTTTCCGCTTGCTTCACACTATGCGTAGGGTCGAAAAATAGACATCTTTGTGTACTATATGTATGTTTTTAGACCTGGAGAATGACCAAGTTTCAACAACTGAAGGAAGAAAGGATTTGAATGATGGCAATTCAACAGGTATAGACATGGAGGCGAACTATATCTGTTTCAATAACAGCCTAACTACTCATTATTAATGTTCTAAATGCATTGAAAAAGTTACTTAGTTTTCTTGTAACTACTGTAATCGTATCCGCGAATAAATACGTAAATAATTTTGTGGTATCATGTTCCTAAATTAGACGCTGAGAAAGGACAAGTTTCTTTGATTGAAGAAAGGAAGGATTTAGATAGCGGCCATTCAACAGGTACATAGACTCTTTACATGTGAACAAAAAAGCAGTAAGCTACACTTTCTATTGGCTTATATGATATAATTTCCGACAATTTATTTGGACACCATTTTGAAGGAAACAGAACAACGTTGCAGTCGTCGTTGTCCGGAAAGAAAAAAACCGGCCTCTAAAAATATGAGCCACCTTACGCTTCACATTAAAAGTAGTTGGTCTTAACCGCACATGTTCGATTATTAGGAGAAAATCCAAATTTTTGTTTATATTAATGAACTCGTAAGTGACCTGAAAGGACAACAAAGGAATTAAGATTATATGATATTTAGCTGTATCCGCAGGGTATCTTTATGGTAACTTGCGCTTGATACTTATTTCACAATTACAACTAATAGTATTTAAATGTTTGTTCCTAAGCCAAGGAGGAAGATCAAACTACCCTGCCCCTTGGAGGCTTAATGGGCTTCGATGATGCGACCCTACAAGGTAAAAAACGTTCTGGAAATATGCAAATTCTTAAATTTTTGTGTAGGTATTATAAAATTACGTTTTATAATAATAATAATAATAATAACAATAATAATAATAATAATAATAATAATAACTTTATTTAAAGAGGGTAACTCATGACAGTAATTCAACTGACGAACTAGTGGCCCTCGATTGTATTTCTATTCAGTGTCGTAACTTTAAAACCAAATAAAGTAATCACACATTTCAGAGGAAATGAAAACGTCAAAAGGAACCAATGATCACTCAAAATGAAACAAAGCCAACTAGAAAACGCGACTGACAAGTCAAGACAAATTTCAGTCTGAATCTGATTACCTTATTAGTACTCTTATAAGAAATTTTCGTCATACTAAAATTCTAACATGGCTCCGAGGCTGAATAAAAACAAAAGAAATTATAGCCATTATTGATCCCTCAACTTCGGTGTCATTTCTTTTTGTTTTATTTCCTCAAACCTCGGAGCCAAGTCTGAATTTTAACATATCAAAATTGGCCTATTTTGACGTTCTATAATTTTCCGTTTTCCGCGATTGTAAAAAAAAATCGCAAAATGAAAGACCTGCGAATAAAAATCCTCCAGAACTATTTCTGGTCTTCACGGATATTTGCAGGCACAGGAGGAACTAAAAATAAAAAAATTGTATCAACATAAATTGCAGGAAAGTCCTTTTCTCTTCTTTTTTTCTTATTCACATAGGCAGCTTGTCGAAGAGAACGAAGTATATTTTGAACCTTGCCCTTGAGTTTTTTTTCACAACAGACTTAAATAATTGAAAAACATAGGTACTTTGTGCTTAATGTTACTTGGGCGCACTTAATTTGGAGCCTTGCTCTGTTGTGTCGTTCCTCACCCCCCTTTGTTATCATCATTATTATCTTATATTATTTCATTATATCTATGTTATTTGTATGTTTTAAGGGTGGAAGCTAAGTAAATAAATAAATACGTACTTAATCAGCGTCTTCTTGCTTAACAGCAATAGCCACTGTGTATATTCAGGATGGTGTCGCAGAATTTCGTAAAGGAGAGGTGTCTAGTGCACTTCACTTATTTACGGAAGGAATTCAAGTGCACTGTAAAGATGTCAAACTGAACGCGGTACTGTACGCCAACAGCGCGTCAGCGCATTTCCAACTGGGTAAGAATTTTCCTATGCTGTGACTCTTTTTTGAAGGAATGATGGTCCTCTTTGCTGAAAATTTTTCCAGGTGCTCCCTGAACTAGTACTATAATCCCGCAGCTGCTTTTGGAGCTGTAACTACTACTAACCGCTGCTGTAGCAAGAGCTCTTCAGAATTATACTGCTACTACTGGTGATGCCACTGCACTTAAACCTGTTACTGCAACAGTAATTTCGGCTTCAAGCAGTAATTAAATAAGTCAATCGTAATTCACACCGATGTGACCAACACTTTCACGATGGAGGTGTGGTAGTGGTACATCTTTGTGTGAAATCCCCAAAAGTGACCAGGGACCGTTATTTTTTTTTCTTAGGAAATTACAGAAAAAGCCTAGAGGACGCAGCTGTTGCTATTCGGTTAGACCCGTATTTACCGAAACTTGCATTTTTAGGTAAGATTTCTGTTTTTTGGCAAGCCGATTTACCCGATCAAAAGCGTATACTCCACTCTTTTATGAACGCTCAACCATGGAACGGTCGAGGGAGAGAAAGCAACAACTAACTTTGCGATCTTCATCTAAAGCCAATTGATAAAAACATTCTTTAGTCCAAGTACATGATTAAATCAATAGAAAAGTTAAGAAATGCTGGTACACTATAATCCTGCAGCACAAGTTTTGACCCTAATATTAAGAGAAGGTTGTTTTTGTTATGAAATCCATGCAACTAAACTTTAGTTTTATTCTGAGGTGTTTTAAAGTCTTAGTAGATCAAAATTGTGCACGCAGCAATGAGCTCGCAAAGAGAAAATACGCAGTCTCTCGCATCGGTTTTGAAAGAGAACAAATCGGCCATTATTGAGAATGATAAATTTTGAGCAGCTTAGCGAATGATCTAATATTCTGGACCTGCAAATGCCAGTCCAAACGCCGGACAAGCGGAAAGCTTAGACCTAGCCCTAAGAAAACCTGAAAGAGTTTGGCCACAGAGACCTCGATAAAATGTTCAGGACATTCTTCCTTTTTAAGCAAAAATAAAAATGTCCCGTCCCCTCTCCCAAATTTCACTGATTTTCCGATCATTGAGGACCCAAATTGTGAATAGAAGGGGAGGGGGGTAAAAACAGTACTTAAAGTTATGCCAAATGTTACTTGTGTCTTTTTAGGAGAAAAGCTCCCAAATATTACAGTTATAATGATTATGAATAAATCTTTACCAGCCAAAGCAACTGCAAGAGACTGATTCTGTACGTTATAAAATTAATTTTTCCTCCCCGTTCGCTGCGTTGAAAACAACTTTTCAATGTGGGTAAAATATGATCGTTAGTATATGCTTTTTTCTTTGCAATAACTTACCCTTACTGTAAAACATTCCTTCTTTTTTTCAGGAGATAATGCCTGCAAAAAGCTATATTTGCACGAAGAGCGCATAGCTTGGCTTCAGAAAGGATTAGAAGTATCCTTAGAGAATGAGTTTTCATATGTTACCGAATTCAAAGCAATACAATCCATGTTACTGTTATGACTAGAGCAAGGAGCATACATAGTTTACATAGTTTACATAGTTCCGCTACAGCAAATAGTGAATCATGTTGACCCAAAATATTTATGCCGTGGAACCTTTCCTGAAAGAAAGTGATAAGCGGGTAGCTCTATAGCAGTTCAAGGGTAAAACTCAAAAGCATATATCTGTAGGTTGAAGAGAGGCATTTCAGATAATATTCACCGGATAGTTTGATTTAACTAATAAGAGTCCTCAGTACGTTAATGGGCTGCGATTTTTTTATTAGAATATTGTGAATTTTATTTTCTTACCTCGAGGTTCCTTGACCTTCAATTCGTCGTTGTTGACATCAGGCTCGCCTCGGTTGCAGTCTTAGATTACCTTAGATTAAATTAATTCACACTTCCTTGGTTTTCGAGCAAAATTTTTCGAAGTATCTCTCTGTCAAAATAAACGTTCGCTGGTTGTATGCCTGACAACACCCCTCGAAATCTCACAAACACTTCTGTACAAACTATGTAATCAGTTTTGACTTAGGATCGGACGTGAATCACTTAAGTGCAGCTGATCTCATTCGTTCTCCAAAATTTTGGCTTTGTTCTTCCTCTTGAGGCAACAACGCCGTGAAACCTACCGAAGACCGACTTTAAAAACATCAGCGGTTTCATCTTTCCATAAAACCTATGCTACTTTAAAATCGTAAAATAAATTAATACCCGCTTGATTTCCCTTTAACTGTACACTGATAACATTCTAGATACCATACACAGTTCAATTTAACTAGCTACCTATTACCAAAACATAGCATTTTAACAAAACTGAAATTTCTCGATCTTTGAAACATCCCGCTTCGCCAAGAGGGAATCAAACTTCAAGAGGGTATAGAAAAGAGTAAAAGTAACCCTCAGGTATACACTACCCAAGAGGGTATAGAGAAGATTAAAAGTAACCCTCAGGTATACACTACCCAAGAGGGCATAGAAAAGATTAAAAGTAACCCTCAGGTATACACTACCCAAGAGGGTATAGAGAAGATTAAAAGTAACCCTCAGGTATACACTACCCAAGAGGGTATAGAAAAGATTAAAATTAACCCTCAGGTATACACTACCCAAGAGGGCATAGAAAAGATTGAAAGTAACCCTCAGGTATACACTACCCAAGAGGGTATACAGAAGATTGAAAGTAACCCTCAGGTATACACTACCCAAGAGGGTATAGAAAAGATTAAAAGTAACCCTCAGGTATACATTACCCAAGAGGGTATAGACAAGATTAAAAGTAACCCTCAGGTATACACTACCCAGGGTATAGATGAATTTCAAATAGCCCTCCGGTACATGTATATAATACTCAAACCTGGAGGATCATTCAATACTTTTTCAATAAGACTGCGGTTTGTGCAATACTCATTTAAAAAATAAGGCGGAGACAAAGCTGCTAAAGGAGGGTAGCAAGACAGAAATTAACTTATATAACCATTCTTCTTTCCCAATTCCCAAATCTTGGTACCAAGCTCGGCTAAACTTAAATGAATTCCCCGTGATCATTCGACTGTAGGCATTTCCCGCCAAATCTATCTGGTAGTTTACTGTCAAAAGAGATTTGATCTACCGTATCAACAACAGGAATAATAATTCAGTTGAGAACTCACAAATACATCTGCTGGAAATTCTCGCTGTTTAAGTAGTGCGGCAGAGAGATCAAATGAAGATGCAACATACAAGTTGTTTGGTTGCCTGGCGTTGAACGAACAGCCTTGCTGGCGGGCTTGAGACCACTAGCGTGACACTACGTATTTCATCGGAGAGTCGACGAAACTTTTCGTTCTCTGCAGAAGCATTCAGCCCAATTCCACATTAATTTTTCGTTAGCAAACACTAGAGCTTTTTCGGGCCGACATTGGATCCTGTAACTCTTGAAAGTTCAGCCGATCGATCGAAAACTTCGGCCTCCATGATGCGATCGCGATAATCGATTCCGATTCAAGATTCGTTGTGAATTGTTAATTAATAAGTGAACCTTCAACTTATAAAATAACAATCACAATGGACGGAAGGTTCCTTGCCGAGCTGTCCGTAACACACAAGTACAATACCTGACGTTATGCATTATACATGCGAACGAAACAAGTGATTTGTATTCCAAAGGCTAACGTGCGCGTTATTGTTCACAAATAAAACAGACATGGATAGCTGAAACTTTATATTTTAGTGACTCCTCATTTGTTATGAGGTAGGTTACAAGATACTAAGAAATGCAAGAGTATTTTTGAAAATGTAGCAATGTTTTGCCATGAATTTTAAATTACAGCTGAGGAGGCTACACGCATTTGTTTCCTTTTTTTCGGCATTCTTCATCGCCTCAAATCTTTTTATGCATTTTTTTTGTTTTAAGGTACTCAGTCACATAATTCAAGGGCTCGTTTAATTCTTCGTAAGCTGTTGGCTGTTGGTTTATCTTCATGGCATGCCCAGTTTTCATTAACCGCATAGACACCTACCGACTGGAAGTGTTAATGACAGAAATGATAGCGCCTCTTTGGAATACATGCTGCGAATTTTTTCCGGGTCCAAAGCTCGTCATGAGCACCAACATGGCGGATGCTTAATTTGCATAAATGTATGACGTCAACTTCAAAAGGAGAATTCTCAAAGAGTAGAAGGCAAAATTCAGACCCGTCAAAAAGTTTTACAATGACATAATTGTTTGACCGCCGCCCAGTTAGCCCAATGGATAGTGCGCTGGACTGTTGTGCGGGAGGTCGAGGGTTCGAGCCCCGGCCGGACCAACACTCAAGATCTTAAAATAATTGAGAAGAACTTGCTGCCTTTCTATAACATTAAGAAATGGTTAGATATTCTAGTCTTCTCGGATAGGGACGAGTAAATAGAGGTCTCATCTCCTGCAAGGTTGGGGTAGGAGAAGTTAATTTCCCACACACGAGATTACTGTGTAATGGATGTCCTCCCCTGGGGTGGGATGGTGGGTTTGTTGTGAAGGCCGTAAGTTAGATAACTTACGTTGAAGTGCTACTGCGACCAAAAATGCACCTTTTCTTTTCTCCTCAGAGGTTGAAAGTACTTACCCTAAGTTTTTTTTTTGCCAAATCTTAAGGCAAAACTCCATCGAGATTTTTTTTTATTTTCCCTGTAGATTTGTGATCTAAACGGCCGCCATTCTTGGAACTATAGAACTCCGCGTGAAGAAGAAGTTTTTTTTTCGAGAACGGAAGTTACGTCAACGACTCAACATTTTTTTTTAATTTGGTATGCTGCGAGAGGAAGTTGTTTTTTTTTTTTTGCAGGAAATAAGGATTAAAATTCGAAAGAATTTTTTTTTTGCTTTCTTTTGCGTATTTCTTGTAAAGGCATTTTTTTTTTACGTTGTCAAAGTGAGTCGATGACGTCACAATTTTTTTTTTTGTAGTTATTTTCGCGGGCTCTCCAGTGTGTTTTTTTTTCAGTGGCGGAAGAATTTTTAATGTCTTCGCGTTTTTTTTTTTAAGGAATAACTTTGTCAAATTTGATAAACTTTTTTTTTTTCTTATAGTTTAGGGTCTAAATGTCAGGTTTTTTTTTTTAAATTGGGAAAATAAAATGCAAAAATTTCGTTTTTTTTTTACTTTAAATAAAAAATATTGTATTGTATTGTTTTTTTTTTTTTTTCTTTTGAGTCTCTCAATGGCGTTCCGTTTTTTTTTCAATGTCGTCTTGAAACACTTTCGAAAGGCTTTTTTTTTTCACCAGACATTGTACGAAGTAATAACAACCTTTTTTTTTTAGACCTGAGAGAACGTTGCAACAAGTTTCACGAGTTACCCAATGTGTCATCTCTTTTTGCAACGAAATGTTTTTTTTTTTATTTCTCCAGAATTAAGTCCAGTATTGACATTTTTTTTTTGAAAAGAAAAAACATCTCCTTCATATTTTCCTGTTGTTATACTCAGATCTCGGTCGAAGTATGTAAAACTGTTTTTTTTTTCCTTTAAAAATAATGTTACCAAACTTAACTTTTTTTTTTTTGTCAACACAAAAGATTACCAGGCCAAGCAAACCGAGGAGGAATGTGTAAGTGAATTCATTACTCCACCGTTTTTTTTTTTTAATTATGTTAGGGTAACAAAAGGACAACTTTTTTTTTGGTGTAACATTGTACAACCATGAAAAAACACGAACGGAGAGTGGAGACAGAAGTTTGACTTTCAAAAATACTTTTTTTTTAGCTTCATCGTTAACCTTATGTCGAAGGCTCCAAAAGTTTTGGTGAAGGAATTTAAGACCTTGTTGGTCTAATATTTTCCGTATGCCAGTAAAAAGAGCGTCGTATGGTTGTTTTTTTTTGTCGCTGACTGCTAAAAACCTGTATTGAGATTTTTTTTTTTTCGAAGTCGCCTCCCGGATATTTTTAGTGATTTTTTTTTTAAAAGGAGTTACAGCCTGATCATCCTTATTTTTTTTTTTCCATTTTTTTGCCAGAAACACAAACTTAAACTTTTTTTTTGTGATTAGCCAAGTTGCTGATTCCTTTTCAATTTTTTTTTCTATATCTTCCGAAATGCCAAGGTTAAATCTTCCGCACAGCAAGTGGTTCAGGTTATTCTTTTGCAAAGTTGAGCTTCGACGGGTGAAATGCAAAGAAGGTGGTATTACATTTTTTTTTTGCTTATGAGTCTTTCAAAATGATGGAAAGAATTTTTTTTTAAATGAGCTTTTGATCGGCAGAAACTGAAAATTTTTTTTTTCTTCACCACCGCCTGCATAACTAGATCAGTCAACTGCGTGAATAAAGAGTGCGCTCAATCTGCTCTCGTGTTTTTTTTTAAAACGTCATTAGATTTAAAGCAAAGCTAAATTTTTTTTTCGTAGTCAACCAGCATATTAAAATACTCAAATTTTTTTTTGTCTAGGTGGAGGCCGGTAAAAGCCTTGAGTTTTTTTTTTCAGTTCAATTTTTTTCCGATAATCTCTACGCTTTTTTTTTCGCATTTAATTCAATTACAAAGGCAAAAGACTTTTTTTTTTTATGAACTATGTAGATGAATTTAAAACGATTTTTTTTTTTCTTTTTATAACCATAAATTTGACAGACAGGTTTTCATGTACACTAAAGATTGCTTTTTCTAAAATCTCGTTTTTTTTTTTCCACCATAGCAACCTTTCATTAATGTTATTTTTTTTTTTCTTTTACGAGTTCAATGTCGTAAATAAAATATTTTTTTTTCAGGGCTAGTGGCAAAATCCAGAGAACATTTTTTTTTTTTAATTAATGTTTTACTAAGTCATCGGGAATTGTTTTTTTTTGAAAAGTTGCATTGTACAAGACCATGAAATTTTTTTTTTTGCACTCACAAAAGAGCAACACCTACAACCATTTTTTTTTTCTAACAAGAAGTAAATATCTTCTAAAAAATTTTTTTTTTTTTTTCGTTACAAAGGCCTGTCTAAGGCTAGTACCTATTACTTAAGAAAAACTGTCGCCTAAATATCTCTGCTTTTTTTTTGGACTGAGAGTACAATACGAGTCGTTTAAAATTTTTTTTTTATATTTTTCTCATAGAAAAGTCTACAAGGATTTTTTTTTTACCACCTTGGAAATGCTCATCATNGTTTAAAGCAGCCATCGATTGCCATCAACAAGCTTTAGAAATTGCTAAAGAGGTGAGAGACAAGGCCAGCGAGGGAAGAATTTATGGCTCTCTTGGTTGTAATTATTATGGTCTCAGGCAGTTCAAAACAGCCATCGATTACCATCAACGTTATCTAGAAATTGCCAAAGAAGTGGGAGACAAGGCTTCGGAGGGAAATAGTTATGGCCTTCTCGGTAATGCTTATGGTAGTCTAGGACAGTTGAAAACAGCCATCAAGTACCATCAATGTCATCTAGAAATTGCCAAGGAAGCGGGAGACAAGACAGACTTGGCTATTTCGTTGGGTTCCCTTGGTGTTAGTTTTGAAACGGAAGGAATGTATCTTAAGGCTCTTGACTGCTATAATTCCAGTGTGGCGATGTTCAATGACACTAGAGATAGTCTGACATCGAAAGATGAATGGAAGATTAGCTACCGTAGTCAACATCAACACGCATACACAGGTTTGTGGCGTTCTTTGTTAAGACGAGGGAAAATTACGGAGGCTCTCCTTGCTGCTGAAGAAGCACGCTCGCAAGCCTTGAAAGATCTGATGGATTTCAAATATGGCTCCAACGCAGAAAGCTATTGGTCACCTTTCCAAATTCGGTCTGCTTATGATTCTTTGAGCGACGTTGCATCAAGCACAATTTTCATGGCAGTTTCCGGCCCAGTAATTTTTCTATGGGTCGTTCAGGGCTGCAAAGTTCATTTAAGAGCAACGGAATTCAAGGAATTCTCTTCAGAAGAGGAACTAACCACCTTACTGAATAGGCTTTATATAAATGCTCTGAAAGAAATTGGTACACGAACCGTGAAGTGTGAGAATCGATCACTTGATGATGACCGCTCTGATGAGGCAGTAGTGGAAGACAGGACCCCGCATGATGTCTTTCATCCATTGTTCCGAGAAGGAAATACTTTAAAGAGGTTGTACGATATGATAGTTGCCCCCATTCTTGACCTAATTGACAGCAAGGAACTGTTATTTGTTCCGGAGGGTCCTTTATGCCTGGTACCTTTTCCAGCATTCGTGGACTCCAAGTCAAAGTATCTGAGTGAGGCCCATTTCGTTCGAGTTATTCCTTCCCTGACCACTTTGAAAATGATAACCGATTGTCCGGTAGACTTCCATAACTCAAGCGGTGCGCTGCTCGTTGGTGATCCATGTTTAGAAGGAGTCCTTTATGAGGGAAAGTCGCTAGCTAAGCTGAAATTCGCAAGGAAAGAAGTGGAGATGATTGGAGAAATTCTAGGCATCGAGCCCCTCGTTGGAGTAGCAGCAAAAAAAAGAGAAGTACTGGGTCGACTGTCCTCAGTGGCCCTAGTGCACATTGCAGCACATGGAAAAATGGAAACGGGCGAAATTCTCATGTCACCAAACACTACCATGGAAAACGGCCCACCTGAAGAGAAAGAATATTTATTGACGATGACAGATGTCTTGAAAGCTGATCTACGAGCAAGACTGGTTGTGCTTAGCTGCTGCCACAGTGCTCGAGGGGAGGTTACAGCCGAGGGGGTGGTTGGCATTGCGCGAGCGTTTCTGGGTGCTGGTGCTCGCTCTGTTCTGGTTTCCCTATGGGCACTTGGTGATGAGGCAACTCTAGAGTTCATGAAATACTTTTACGGAGAACTGTCGAAATTGAAGAGTGCCAGTGAAGCCCTCAATAGAGCCATGAAATGTATGAGGCAGTCTGAGAAGTTCAACGAAGTGAAGAATTGGGCACCATTCGTACTCATTGGTGATGACGTCATCCTTGATTTGAAAAAATCATAGAGGTCGTCAAATGTAAGTACATCTAAATTACTGATATACCGAGAGGTGGGTGAGAACACACTTGGGGTATCTGGAGGTTTTTTTATATTCTGGTATTTTGAATTGAATCTCAAGTGGAATAATGAGACTTCAAATAAGCCTGGTTTTCATGTGAAAGAGATAAGCCACACATCTGATCCAAGGTAATTTCTTTGGTTGGGGATATTTTGTAAAGAAAAAAAATTAAAGCCAAAAACAAGAAACCATTACCTGACTATTTGGGTTATTGTGTGTTTGTTACGGCATGAAAAAGCAGATTTTGATAAGTCTTTTTAGTGGGGGAAGTAATTAAAATGTCTGTTATAATAGTATTTGTCATTCTTTTGTTTCTTTTGATAGGATGTGTTCGTCGAAGATGTATAAAGCCATGACGACACCATGGGTGGTTGGCTTTTGACGACGACTGTCTTCACCCCAAGCGTAAAAGAGGACTTTTCATTTTATGTTAAATATTTTTCGTTATTCATATCTAAGTGAATAAGCGCTAAAGTCTATGAAAAGAAGAATTAACACAGAGTCAAAGAAGGAATGAACTGTTCATATACTATAAATAAAAACTTGGTAAATCGCTTGGAAGTGCCTTTTTAAAACTGTGTAAGCAGAAGTATATCTAATGTTCTTGATGTTAGGATAGACAACTTTTTTTTCTAGATAGAGAGCAGAGTATTTTAAAAGTGAAAGCTTTAGAAAGGCATCAAGAAATATAACCAATTGAGATCGGTCTATTTCCTTGTTTTTGCTTTTGTGCTGACTTTCAGTGGCATTTACAGGACTTAGTTATTAACCGTCCTTTGCACAGAAACAACAACGTGAAATCACCAAAATTTGCAATTTATTTAAGTTTCCATTTGGAACTCAAAGCTGCTCACTCGCGTCATGCTGATGTAGAGCAGGGTGTGGCCCCGTAAGAGGTCCTTGTCATTATCTTCTCACCGATGCTTGTTTTCACGAAAGCTTTGAGAACTTGTGACATTGATGTGTATTCTTCCAAAACCACTGAGTGTGAATGGGCTTGGGTTCGGGCCCTGGATTTCAGAGGCTTTCAGATGATCTAGACGGCAAAGAACTGGAAACAAATACTAACATGAGCCTGCAGATCAAACAGCTGACAAAAAACTGGTGGCCTGTAAGCAACCTTTTTTGGGTTTGTTTGGACGTAATTTTAGCCATATCCTTTATCGATCTCAAAATCCTCACTTAATGAGACCAGAAATGCGCTTATTGTCCGACCAAACCATGTACAGTTCAGACACAGAGCCACCTATAACAGGGTATAAATCACTTTAAAACGAACCAGTCGATCGCAAACGAGCAAGATTACTCTACCAATGCAGATACACACACAAAATTGCTGAATTCGAACGGTGCACTCGATGAAAACAAACCAAACTATTTCAGATAGCAGTTAGTTCACTTCACCTTGCATTTGCTCCAGGAAGCGTGGAATGCTGGAAAATGGACTCTTGTTGAGGTAAACAGCTACCATGATCATGATAAATTACTTAATATGGTTTCAGTGTAACCTGTCGTTTCACTTGGTATTTGTTTTGTTTAACAGTGGCATGTGACCAAAACCCTGTAATGAAAACTATGAAATCAAAAGTTAATTTCTGCTTATGCGGGCAGCCCCATATTTCACTATCGGATAAAGAAAACTGGCGAATGCAGTAGACCGTCTTTTGGAGGACAGCTTTGATTTAGAATAGTGTTGGGGTTATACGGAAATCTTTGCAGGCTCAAAGTAAAGCTTCCACAGTGAGGAGGGTATGAATTTCTTCTGGAACACTGTAGAGTCATTTGCAACCAGATCGATCTTAAGTGTTCTTTAGGAGGCTCAAGCGGAGTGTGTTACATCTTCACAGGCAGAATGGTGGTTCTTTGTAAACATAAAACAACCTTGAACATGGGTTAGATGGCTAGAGCCACACCCCCTCCACTCCTCAACCCATTGGAAAATCTTACACTCAAATATAAATTCCCTTTGAATTTGGTTTTCAATTGGCAGCACATTTGTAGAGAAGCATTTACGTGGCCTGAATGATATCCCAGCCTTAGTTTAGAATAGTGTAGGGTTGTTCGGAAATCTTTCCGGGCTCAAATCAAATCTTCTACAGTAAGGAGGGCTTGAATATGTTCTGGAACAACGCAGTGTCATTTGCAACTGCGTGGAACTTAAGTGTTGTTGAGGGGGCTGTAGGGGAGTGTGTTATATCTTCACGGGCAGGATGGTGATAAACTGTAAACACAGAAAAACCTTCAATATAGGTAGATGGCCAGAGCCAAACCCCCTCTCCCGCTTTTTAACCTACTGAAAAGTCTTACACTCTATTAGAAATCACTTTTGAATTTGATTCTGAATTGGTAGCATATTTGCATATAAGTATTTAGATGGTCTGAATGATAACCAGCTGCATCACTACGACAAGCTGATTAATGAACCAAGCAATGACTGGGAGATACAGTACTGGATGACAGACAAGAAACCTACACCAACGGAGTATGATAATCCAGTTATGGACTTGCTTAAGATCCATGCAGAGAATGAAAATACGGAAGAACGTATAAGACAACCAGATCTTCAAGCAAAATAATCACCATTTAACATCTTTGAAAGGGTTTTTTACCTTTCATTGGAATTTTAAACTCTTTCTTTGTTTGTTATTGACAGTGGTTAAGCCTGTAACAGTTACTTAATATAAGGATTACTTGGAAATTATAAGGCTCAAATGAAACTATTAAGGCTCAGCGAAACAATTCATAAGGAAATAACAGATTCTAAACGACACCAAAATAATGTTGTTCATGCAAGAGGACATAACATAACGACAAAAGAGAACTTGGACATAAAGTTCTGAGTTAGTTGTTTTTGACCAATAAAAACATTTGATGCACATAAGGTAATTTGTTTTTTTGTTTTTTGTTTTCAAATAATACAGCACAAACGAGAAAATCAACCACACTTTCAAGTTTCTTTTAGTAGTTATTACACTGAAGATGTTACACTGAGACACATGAAAATGTCCAAGTTAATGATTCTTGGAGTTCCGGGGTCCTGGGGTCGGACTTTTGCCTCAGTGACTTTACATGTATGATGCTAAGACATCTGCACTCAGGGTTGCACTGAACACTCTTTAATTTTTGTCTTAGTATTTATGTAATGGAATTCTTTATTTTGTTTTAATGGAACTGTGATCACCAGGTACAATTGCCAAATCTCTGAATGAGTTTGTCCTGATTACAAAGGTCCTTCTGCACTTTCTTTCTCATGTAAAAGATGGGGCAATCATTGTAGAATTCTCCAAGAAGACACGACTCGATGGACACGGATTAAACCACAACAAAAACCAATTTAATAATCCAAAATGCCTGCCCGCTCTTACGCACCCCTTACGTCGTGTAGGACAGTATGGACTAAACATCCGCCCTCATTCATGTAGACTTACAAGAAACATCCTACATCCCTTTGCTTCTTTCTTGAACAAGAAGACAACTATAAGTTTTTAAACTTAAACGACACATAAGAGGTCTCAAAGAATCATCCTGACATCTGATGATCACACTACAGTTAACGTTCAGTAATAAAAGTTCATTCTAAAACAAAGTCCTCAAATCGTTTTGGTGCAAATCTTGTTCACAGTGGTCGTGGAGGCTTCACAGGTGTGGCGTCCCTCTGCTTGATTTCATCCTTCTGACTCTGTTGCATTTCTCCTGGATTACTTACAACATCCCCAGCATCCACCTCATGATCTACATATGATAGTGTACCAATTCTCTGAAAAAATGCCGCTCATGGGGAATGTTAAGTTGGGTTACGAAATGTCCTGTTAAGGCATCTTCAGCCTTCTGGTAATCCTTTGCACCACCAGTGTTTGGCAAAACATCAAAAATATCCTGTACATCCGATCTTGCACAATGAAGAGGAGGCGCCCGTCTTTGCACTTTGTTGTCATCCTTGTCCTGAATGACAATCAGAGCCTTCCCACCTGCATATAACTAAAAACTGCGAAGCCATCTTTTCCATTCTGTACCCACGCTACTCGGATCACTGTTGACATCAAACGGTCGAATTACTCCAATTTCCAAATCATTGAAGCTCATCCTCAACAAAAGTATTCTTTACATCTTGAGAACCATCCTCGTCGCCAGTTGTAGAATTCTCGAAGAAGACATGACTCGATGGACACGGATTAAACCACAACAAAAACGAATTTAACAATCCAAAATTCCTGCCCGCTTTTAGGCGCGCCTTCCATCATGTAGGACAACATGAACTACACATCCGCGCTCCTTCATGTAGACTTACACGAAACATCCTGCAATTATGGCTGAAACAAAGGAGGTATGAACAATGTAAATGCTAGACACAATCAAAAAGTTTGATGGATTAAAATTTGAAATAGCCCCAAGAGATTTTTCACTGACTAGAAAATACTCTGTGAGTAAAGAAGCAACTTGGTTTAATCATACACTCTGAGTAGCATGTCACTGTTTAGTTTCCATGGCGTGAACTAACTCAGAATACTGACATTTTTTCAAGATAGGATGTTGGTCCTCTACAAGTTAACTCCTTGCAGTTTCTCATTGACCCTATAACTCCCAAGATCTGAATGTTGATTCTCCCCTCTAACTGCTACACATTTCTTTGTAAACTGGTTATGAGAAGTTGTTGTTAGAACCAGAGAAAAAAATTTCCACTTCATAAGTTTGTGTGTTCTCATTGCATGTTTGCTTGATAGTGTATGGATAATCAGAGACAAGTTACATCTTAATCGCTTCTAGGAGTTTAAGGGTTAACATTTTTGGGTAGCAAGAGGAGACGAGAGTGAAGCATCCTGTTGAAGAACACAGCTTAATAACCCAGAATCTAGGATACGGACCCTATCTCTCGGGGAAAATATTATTAATCGAAGTATTTTTTCAGACCTGATACACAGTACCTCAGCATGCAAACTGCCTTGACAATTTTGACATTGAGTCCAAAGCCTTGCAAACTTTCCTTGTAGACCTGTGCATTCAGCTGAGAAGTCTCCTTTTGATAGAGACCAGACTCTTTACGCTTGCAGCGTTTACAGACAGCAGAATCTGGTAAGCAAGGGAAAGGATTTTATCAGAACCAAACACATTTAACACATCTCAGAGCAGTAACAAAAAAAATTGATTCATGCCAAATCTCCAATTTTTGACCAAAATTACTATTAAGATGTAAATTTCGTTGAAAGTTGTATAGTGATTTATAAGAATTTTTCGAGTATAACTGCTAAATTTTGACAAGGTATACTCACTGTTATTGTCAAGGACTACCTAGTACACCCAAGGCAAGTTTCTCTATTCGTAGTAAATATGGCCAGCTTGCCCACTTTTGGGTCTGGAAAATCTGCGAGCCAGCGAGCCATGCGAGCCACGGTGCGAGCCATGCGAGCCATTTTTGCGAGTATTTTTTGTTCTTTGATTTCTCCAGGGTCTGAGAGGTCGTCGATCATTTCGCGCCCGACTATCACTAAACTACTATCCTTATAAACCTCCCATCCGCCATCTTTAAAGCGGAGATGATCCTGATGACGAGTATAAACGGTACAAGCTCCCTCCCAGGGTACTCTCTGTTTCCCTGGGAAATTTGTTTTAAATTTAGCGACAAAAGTGCCTCAAATTGAAATATTCCCAGATAAAATCTTAATTTCGTTTCGGTTGCCAGAACTATTGCTGGTGCGTCAAATATGAAAAATGCTCAGAACATCTGTACGTCATCCCAAGTCTTGCGTCATAGTAATGGCCGTCCTGAGTTGGACGAATTTTTTCTTCGTTTCATATTTTTGTTATTTAGAGAAAATTTTATCAATTCAAATCGATCAGGATCCGCAAAAAATAAAAACAATGCGACAAAAATTAATTAAGGTTCAAGACTTAAGTAAAAAAGTTTTCTGAGGAAAACGTACGGCTCCACCCCCCTCCCCCCCCCTCTTTCGCTACTCGAATAGGTTGTTGAGTGGTATTCATTGGCTCCTGTCATTCATTGATATCCACGTGCAAAATCATTCAAGAGAAAAGAGAACAGTATTTCCTGGGCAACTCCCTGTATTCTTGGGTTACATGTGACGTCACGACCCTTATGCAAATTAAAACTCTTCCATGTTGGATAATAAACACATTAAACATGGCGGACGCCGAATTGTGATGTTGTGTACTGCACGTTCTTGAAAATTTCGCTTGTATTACACGTTTCTAACTCAAAAATGCCTGCTATATGTGCAGTTTACGGCTGAAAAAAATCAGGCCTGTACGGGACTCGAACCACTGACCTCTGCGATACTAGTGCAGCGCTCAACCAATTGAGCTAACAAGCCAACTGGGAGCAGGCCGTTAAGTTGACTCGTAATAAACCCGTGAAAGTGATAAATGAAATACAATGAATATATGAGGTTCATATATTTTGAACTGCGGTATTAGATACGTATGATGCACGATCCTCAGGTCTGATTTTCGCTATTGCTTAAATAGCGCTATCTACTGCGAGGATCGTGCATCATACGTATAATTCTTCTCAGTCACTTTAATCAAGGTGAGACGAAAAATTTCGATTTTTGCGTATTTATCACGGACTTAAGCATCTAATTGAAGAGTCTGGTTATGGTTTTGATTTATTGGTAAACGGACTTTGTGTTGTTACTCATGACCTACAATTCTATGCCTGCTTCGCGGACGTCCGATCACTCGTATGATTCCAGACCGAATTCGACTTCACTGGGTCCTATTGCCATTATTAAGACAGAATGTAAAGATGTTATCAGAATAATTCTAATCCTATAAAGGCTTTAAGGCGTTCTTTGATGGTGAGCATAAAGGCATTTGCATAGAGGGCTTAAAAAAAAAATAACCCGTAACCAATCATGATGACAGTCTATTATTTCTCAACTATTATTAATTGTATAACATTAACATTGATAATTGTATAAAGATTGATGATGAGTGAACCAACATTTGAACATCTGTTGTTCAGGTCTCGTCCTAAGTTCTTTCCAGTTCTCGAAGAGTCTCAGCCGCTGGAAATATTTAAGGACATAAAAAAAGACCGCGACGCGCGACGGCGACGGCAACGTGTAAGTGCCAAAACAAAAGTTCTATTTGGCAGAACAATGGCTGGGCTCTTGCATGTGTTTTAAAACCTCGTAAATTTATTAACCGTCCTCTGCGCAGAAACAACAACTTGAAATCACCAAAATTTGTAAATTATGTAAGTTTCCATTTGAAACTCAACACTGCTCACGTCATGCTGATGTAGAGCAGGGTGTGGCCCCGTAGGAGGTCCTTGCCATTATCTCCTCATCGATGGTCGTATTCAGTAGAGCTTGGAGAACTCTTGACCTTCATGTGTATTTTTCTGTATATTTTACTTTTATTTCCCTCCACTCCAGTATGTAAATGTAAATAGAATAGTTAGTTTATAGTGCATAAGTTTTATTTTATTGCTGGTAGTGCCCGTGGGCAATATGAAGGGAATTCTCTGTTCTGATTAACTACCTCAGCAGGCGAAATGGGCCCATCTTTCCCGCTGGATTTTGGCTGCGTTTATGCGGCAAAGGGGAAAATCGAAAAT